GGGTAAAATTTAGAAAGAAAACAAATAATTTCAGAAAATAAATAAATGAAATTAATCAACCAAAAAATGATGGTTTCAAGGCAAAAATATTCTGGAATCTATCGAATTAGGGGATTAAGTTCCCCTAATTCGATAGAAATGTGTTAAAGAGGGGAACCTCTTTAGCACTTTTTCGAAATGAAAGACATTTTCAAAATTTTGAATTGAACCTTTAAAAAAATGGAAAAAAATTGTCCTAAAAGGTTGGGCTCAGACGATTCAGCATTATCTAAAACGTGCAGATTCATTATCCCCTAAAGTGGACAATTCACGTGAGTTGTGCCAAAAGGTCGTATAAACACTTTCCCAGAGGATATGAAATCTCCACGTTTCAGATGTTTCTGAGTCATCTGAGCCTATCTTTTCGGAACCGAACTTTTTATTTTTCTACAAGGAATTTGAAATCTCCACGTTTTGGATGATGCTGAGTCATCTGAGCCGAATTTTATACGACAATTGTTTTAATTTTTTTAAGCGTAATTTTGGACTTTTTCGAAAATTTGCGTCAAAGGTCGTGAAAACGCTTTCCCAGAGGGAGAGGGGGGGAGGAGATTGGGCATTGAGAAATCACAAGCTTTTAAAATTGAGTTGATGAGTTTTTCCAAAATATCTCCGAAACTAAAGGACACCGCGAATTTTTACGGAAATTTGGAGAAGAGGGCGTGTACATTGAGAATTCGCAACCAAAAAAATTGAGTCGGTAAGTTTTTCAAAAATATCTCCAAAACTAAAGGAAATACACAATTTTTACTGACAATTTGGGGCGGGAGGGGGGTAGGAAGTTTTATTGAATTCTCCATTCTCCAAAAATTCTAAGAGAATTAGAATTTAGAGAGAAAAAATTTCCGCTTGACCCAGCCGGGAATCGAACCCGGGTCTCCCAGATACGCGCCGGGCACTCTTACCGACTAAGCTACCGGGAACCACAGAAATTCACTCTCAAATTCACCTCAAACACCGCCTAACCTCCTTTAGGCNCACCGCCTAACCTCCTTTAGGCATTAAAGAGATCCTTGCATTCCTTTGAAATTTCTCTTTGAAAATTCATTCCTCTGCTTCTAATTGAAATTTCTCGGAACTCGTTGAATTACTCAGAAATTTCTAACAAATCCTCCAATTTCCACTGAATTTCGAGGAAGTTCTCGAATTCTCTTGGAATTTCTAAAAACGTCCAGAATTCCGGCGGAATCACTTGAATTTCCGTGAAATATCTTGAATCTTATCTAATTCATTCCCCCAAACTTGAAGAGACTCCCTGAATTCCTTTGAAATTTCCCGAATTTTTTCGATTGTATTGAAGTTTCTAGGAACTGCTTGAATTTCCATGAAATTCCAAAAAAATCACCCTGAATTCCCTAGTGATTTCGTGAAAGTTCTCAGAATCACTAGAATTTTCTTTAAAAAAACCTTAATTTCCTTTAAATAATGAAAATGGCTGAATAGCCTCCAAATTTTCAGAAATTTCCTGAATTTTGTTGTTTATTTATAACCTTACTTTGAGGATGGAGAACAATATGTAAAAACCCTAGAGGGTGAATATAAGAGGTGATAAAAACCCGGCAGGGTGTATCTCAGGCGAATAAACTAATGAAATGAAAGACAGTCATTGATTAAAGTATGGGACTTATAGAAGTGTCTGTGATAACTAGCTAATTTTATGTAAAAAGTTATGCTTGAATTTACTCAGAGCTTGTTGGTATCGCTTACCATATAATACGTAATCTACGTTCGATAATATATTGAGAAATACAAATTTTCTATTTTCGTTCTTCCATTATTTTTGTACATAGTTTCCCTGAGTCAATCATGCATTGAACTCTCAGTTTATAGTGCGATGAAATGATTTTTCAAAATAAAACTGCAGTAATACAAATGTCGAATTTATTTGTGAAAGACATTCTTGGAAAAATTCCTTTTTAGGCACTAATTGTGGAGAAGGGCACGTGTGGAGAAAGGCACGTGTTAATTAAAATAATGATCATAATGAGGGTAAGGAAAAAGGTCAGAATTAGGGTCAAAAGTAAGGGTAAGAATAAGGGTCATAATGAGGATCAAAAATACTGGTCAGAATGAGTCTCAAAAGTAAGAGTCAGAATGTGTGTCAAAAATAAGAGTCAGACATGAAGATCAGGATAAGGGTCAAAAATAAGCTCCACAATGGGGGTTAAAGATAAGGGTCCGAACGAGGGTCAAAAATAAGGGTCAAAGAGAGTAAAAAATAACGGTCATAATGAGGTTCATAATGAGGGGCAAAAATACTAGTTACAAAGAATGTCAAAAATGCTAGTTACAATGAATATAACAAATGAAGGTCATAATAAGGGTCAAAAGTAAGGGTCAGGATGAGGGTAAAAATTAGTGTCATAATGTGGCTCAAAAATAAGGGTCTGAATGAAGGTAAAAAATGCTAATCAGAGTGAGAGTCAAAAATAAGGGTCAGAGAGAGAGTAAAAAATAGGGTCATAATGAGGGTCAAAAATACTGGTCAGAATGAGTGTCAAAAATGAGGGTTAAAAATATGGTTTACAATGAGGTTCATAATGAGGGTCAAAAATAGTAATTACAATGAATGTCAAAAATAAGGGTCAGGATGAGGGTAAAAAATAATGATCACGATGACGGTCATGGATAAGAGTCATAGTGAAAATCTAAAATATTAGTATTTATATTATTACCAGGGCCCCGAACTTCACGTGATTACCATTGTTATCAACAATCATTCAATTGTTATTGACAATCGTAATAGGGCGAAGTTTCGGGCCGTGGTTATAACATTTCAAATTCAGCAACATTCTCCCGCCAAACGCTGCCGACTTGACCGACCCAGTCAAGAAGTCGACACTGCCGCCATCCCACGGCATTCCCCCATCGAGCCTTCTCACGCTATCAATCATTTTTTCGCATTTATTGTAATTAACCAACTAAAGGGGTTGAATTGCAACAAATTACTCATCTTTATTTTTTAAATTATTTTTGGAACCCTATTTCAGTCATTTTAGACGTTTTTTACCCTAAACCAACATCCATGTAAGCATCCCTGGAAGCATCGATGCAACTACATGGATACCGCTTCGCCAGGGGGGATAATGAATCTGCACGTTTCAGATGATGCTGGATCGTCTGAGTCCAACCTTTTGGGACAATTTCTTTCCATTTTTTCAAAGTTTCAATTCAAAATTTCCAAAATGTCTTTCATTTTGAAAATGTGCAAAAGAGGGGAACTTAATCCCCTAATTCAATAGATTCCATAATATTTTTGTCTTGAAACCATCATTTTTTGGTTAATTAATTTCATTTATTTATTTTCTGAAATTAATTGTTTTTTTCCTAGATTTTAGCCGGATGCAAGTTCTAAACTGCAGATTCGAGAAAGTTGAAAAAACAATCCTGAATTTACTTTTTTTTTTCTCTGTGTGATTATTCCAATTCCGAATTACAGAAGGAAATTTGGAATTATTAAAGTAAATCATCCCGTCAATTAAGTAATTGGGAAATAACGAATGAATTATCTAGCTAATCGGAAAATCGTCGAAGTTAGATTCCAAATTACCCATGTACTTTGGAGATCTACAATATGAAATTACTCGCCCATTCCAGTAATTCGCTCTTGTGAATATTTACTATTCAATAATCTGTAATCTGAGAAATAAAATTCCCGGTTAGTCAAATATTCTCCAATGACATTTTATTAGATTATTTCTATCGCCGATAGTTAGTAGAGGTCATTGAAAATTCCTTCGAATATTTTGGTAATTTGCGATTAGTGCTAATAAAAACTCATGTATTTCCCAATCGATTCAGAAGAATTATAAATTTCAAAGAATCAATGGGTTACTGATCTACAACTTGATATTTAATTGGAATCTCCAATTATTTTTCTTAGATTACGAAAGAAAAATGTAATTTAATATTCGGGAACGCCAAATTCCCAATTATCCCATCCCTGATTGGAAGTGTAGAGAGTGGTTGATTAAAGAAAGTTTGATTGCATGTGTTAGAATGTTGAGGAAAAGCTGGGTTAGGATTGCGAGGTGTAATTGACTTATCTGTCAAAATTTCCATTAATTCATCGCGCATGTTGTGGACCTCCTTTCGGACTGAATTTTCGATAGCTTAGGTGATGGCGGCTTCGAATTGACGTTGGAGTATCGCTGTCATATGTGTCATCATCTCCGAAGAATTTTTTGTCAAGTATTCCAAGATACTGTCGTTGTTAATTCGGATAGAATTTTCCACAAAACTCTGTGTCTCCACTTCTATCCGCGACTTCCAATTTTGCCCATATTGTCCCAAACAATCGGTGACATGATGTTTTAGGTCTCCTATTGCTGATCGGACCTCCTCCTGAATTCCAAGTTGGATTCCAGTAACATCCAGAGCGTCCATGAACGTAGGATTCCTTAAACGGTGGGCCGTTCTGACGTCGAAATTTCTGCCTCTCGGAAACTGCATTTTTAATCAGTAATCCACAAAATTTTTCTTCAAAACAGGTTTACTCTACACTTTAATTTCTGACACCAATGTTGAGTTATACGCGATTAATCAAACAAAGAGTTTATTAAATAAGTTCGGAGCGAAAAAAACAGTAAAAGATATAATAAAATAAAATGACACGTCCGCAGACTCTAGATCAAGATCAAAAGTATAACGGGAAAGAAAGAGACGATCATACATGAAGGTGGTTGAGAGGGAGGAAAAGGGCAAATACGTACAATATATATACCCGTTAAATTTGAACTATTACAATACTTCCATTCAGACGCAAAATAGACGGAGCAATAGAAATCCAATAGAATTCGCTAACGAATCCGCTAGGTTTTTCTAATAAATTTTTTTGTACGTAAACGTATAGGCAAACTCAATATAAAACCTCACAATAAATGTGACAATATTTCTATAGAAAACATCTTAATAGGATAAATCATTTAGAAAAATAAACATCTATCGACTCTTTTCTACAGGTTTTTTTTCATTTTCGAACAATGAAACTGGATGGCACTGTCATTGATGACAGTAAAAAGATGGGAAGACCCATGGAATTAGTTCTTGGGAAGAAATTTAAACTGGAGGTGTGGGAGGCCATCGTCCAGAAAATGGCACTCAACGAAGTCAGTAAATTCACGGTCGATAAAAGCGTAAGTAACATTGTTGGTTGAAACATTGAAAAATTATCAATTCGGCGCCAACTACCAATTTCAACATTTTCCAGTTAAACTTTTTGTTGAACTGAAAATGTCAGGAAATGGAAGGTAAAGCCTGAGTAAAATTGAGTGACATTGCGTTTTTACTGTCGTAGCTAGTGTCATCATACCCATTTGTCTCCAAAACGCTCAGGGAAGTGGGAAAATCCCAGAGTCAAAAGATTAACACACATTGCTGTGGGGTAACTCTGCAAAATGAAGGAATCGGATATCCTGATCTTAACGAATTGATAAAAAATTCAGAGGATTTGGAATTCATACTAGGTTTGTTTCTTCATTTATTCATAATTCTTATTTACAGGAGAAAATAATTAATAACTAATTAAAATAGTCATTCCTACCTTACCTCTTCCTATTTATCTCTAATAGTTTTACAAATGGACACTAAAAAATATTTTATAGAAAAAATAACTACAATTGGCCTTTTCTATCCGACTTATTCTATGAGATTCTTCGTATAAGTTGCTTGGCCTAAAATTTCTAATTTCCTTTGTTTGATGTTTTTTTGGGAGAGTTTTTATGGAAAATATGTCAAGAGATTGAGACTTATAAAAAGATGAAATTCTATTCCTTTTTTTCTATAAAGTAGGATTCATTGAACATTTTCTTCTAATGAAAATGTATAGAAAAGCTACGGAATTTTTCAATAAAATTTTCTAGCGAATTGGATAGCTTCTCTTTTAAATTTTTTCGTACACGTAGAAATACAATTTTCGCGAATATTTCATTTTTTAATGTAACGAAGTTGTTATTTCTTCTTTTTGAAAAGCCATAAATTTCCTTTATTTTTATCATTCATTTCTTGTCATAAAAAAATGATTCATTTCCTTTATTGAAGCTCCTTTCAACGAAAAAATACAGTTTAATTTTTTTTTTAGAATTGGTTGAAGTTGTTCCACCAACTGAATACGAGCAAGAGTCGTGGCAAATGACTGAAGATGAGAAATTGAAAAATGTGCCTTTGCTTAAAGAAAAGGGAAACGAAAAATTTAGGATGCAAAATTATGAAGAAGCTGCTAATAACTACGCGATGGCCATTGGAATGCTGGAGCAGTTAATGTTGAGGTAGAATAACTTATTTGTCATTTACCCTAGGAAATGATCAATCCCATCAATTCGTAGCTCACCCGTTTTTCTTTTTCTGTAAGAAATTTCAAAATCGGTGATGTCTTCGTCTATTGTGCTGATGAGTTTACTACTTCAGTTTTAACGTAAGACAAGCGGTTAATTGCATTTTTCAATAAATGAGAATAGTTATTGTTGCTAACAAATTAACAATTTTCTTCCGAATGGGTTCTCTTTTTAAAAATTCTCGTTTCACTATTCTCTTCTTCTATTTTTTCATGTTATAATACTATCATCAATTGAAATGTTATCAAAATTTTGCATATTACTTCGTTCTGTCAAATAATTCTATATTTAGACCCTCTCAAGGCTCGTTTTCGTTTTTACTCCTAATTTAACCATGATTCAATCAATGTTTAATCAGTGTATAGCCGGGATTCAATCAGGGTTTATTCAGGATTTAGCCGGAGTTTAACCCAGGTTCTGTGAGCAGTTGGTCAGGACCATAAATCAATATGAATAAGTTCAACATAATAGACTGGTTCCTGAGTTTAATAGAGATAGAGATTTTTATATAAAAAACTCATGACGGTATTGTGTAACTCGATAAGTAATGATGCTATTCTCACAATTTTTCAACTTGATCAAGAAGACATTGAGATATACTTTCCAAACTCTGATTTAATTCCTATTACTTATAACGAGATCGAAGGCGCGCTCCGCGCGCCTGACAATTCGATAGATTTTATATGATTCATCACGTTAGTATTTAAGTAGATTGGAATCAATATGTTTGTTCACATATACGAATTTCTATAGTAGTACGAAGGAGAAATTCTTCGACATCCATGAAAACTTCAATTGAAAATTAATACATACTTGGTTAGAAATCACTAACATCAACATCACCATCAGTGATGAATATCATCAACATTATCAACAAAATCAGTATCATCATCATCATGTATGTGACATCTTCTTTTTATTATAGAAGATTCTTTCAATAATTACTCAAAAACCGATTTTCACTTTCAAATCACATGAACAATGCGCTGTAACTCAACAACGAATTTTGCGATCCCCATTATATTCTGATAGAATCGAGAGAATATTGTTAACAGTTTTTGGAGTCATGACTAATTTTATCTTGATGGCAATTTGTTGAGCGATCATTGAAAATTCGATTTTTGGAAAAATATCTAATTTATCGAATATATACGAAAAATTGAATTTTAATTGGTGTTAAGGAATAGAGCTTATTAAAGGCGAGATTCATGAAGAAATTCATGAAATTCGATTGATCCCTTTTAAGGTGTTTCGCCTGTAGATCACAGGGGGGTGAAGCGGAAGGGGCTTATTGTTCTCGAGCTCTGATTCAATCGCTGCGCACGAAATTTTTCAATTTTCAAGTAACTAAGTGTGCATTTGAACATTTTTTGAATATTGATTTTATGCAACAGATTGATTTTTTTCTCATCACCTATGGGTGTCAAATAATTTTTATTGGATGTTTTTCTAATTATTGAAATATGTAACGAGATTTTCTCGTTACGGGTTGAAATCCCCTTAAAAAGATATATGAACTCTTCAAATTATTGAAGAGAGACAGGTAGTGACATCTAGAGGCGGCTGAAGAAAGCCGGGACTAGACGAGATGAAAGCAGTATACTATTAGCCGACAAAAAACTATTTTCAAACAAATGACCCTATCGAATCGTTTGTAATTCGTTAGCAGGTCATTGTACACCACTTTTTAACGTTTAAGAGGCAATGAGTCTGTTTTAATTAATTAATCAAGATAGTCCATGAATCTAGCCGACAAATTTTTATTTTTCAATTTTTTTTTTTTCATTCGATTGCAAATTGTTTGTAGACTCCAGATCTGTCACTCTTATTGTTTAAGAGTGAATATTTCATTCATAATAATGAATTTTCTTATACCCTATGATGTGATACGGGAGGCTAAATAGCTCGTGGGTTCTCCGGCTATGTACTGTCAGTTTAAAAACAAAAAAAGAGTATCTTGTGTTCATCATTAAAATTGAGTAACTCGGCAGTAGCAGTCCCGCTGTCACAGGGACAGGTTCGGATGGGTACTTTTGTCCTCCTTGTACTCAATGTTTACATCATATTTTTCAGTTGATTTCTTCGCCGACTAATTAATATTAAGGGATGAAACAAAGACTGTTCAATGGAGAATTAAATTCCCCATCCATCAACCCCCGTTTCATCCCTTAATCTCTGCAATAAAAAAATTAATATTGCGACGAAAGGCACGGCGCTATAAGAAACCCAATGTTTTCTCGGCGCAGAGTGACTCCCCATTAATTCGCCTGCTAATTAAAAAATCGTCTCTTTTCTCCTAATTAATATTAAGGAATGAAAACAATGCTGTTCGATGGAAAATTAAATTCCCCATCGAACAGCATTGGTTTCATTCCTTAATATTAATTAGG